TTTGACTGTGTAGATCATAACAAACTGTGGCTGACTCTGAGAAGAATGGGAATCCCAGAACACTTGATCGTTCTAATGCGAAACTTATACTTGGACTAAGATATTCTGTAGTCTCCTCTAAAACCACAACTCAATGGCATCAATTCTTCTTCTGTCATCCTTATTCACTGTCCATATCTCCAATTCCAAGCAAGTGATTGAAAAGACGATGGCCTTAAAAAGGAACAACTTAGTTTTCAAAGTGACATCACTGCTCTTCAGTATTCAGCAGAAGTCCCTTACAGTGGATTATCCAATGTATTATGTCTCCTGATTTCCTGACTGCTGGTACTAAAGGTGTTGACTATTGATCCAAGAAGACAAAATAATTGACAACTTCAATCCTTTCTCCATCTATCATAATGCTGCCTACTGGTCCAGTGGTGAGGACTTTTGTTTTCTTGATGTTGAGATGTAATCCATACCAAAGGCAGTATTCCTTCATATTGTTAGTAGTGGTTAACACAAAGGTGGTAGGGTTTTTTCCTTCTATGAACATTTTATTTTTTTAATCTAGTGGTAAAAAACTGTACTGTAACCCCAAAGGCACACTGTTCAAATCTAACAACTTCTCTACAGGAGAAGAATGGGCAATCTCTTCCTATGTGATTAACAGCCTCTGAAAACCTGCTGGAGGGTCAGTTATGGGTCAGTTTCAAATCAATGGTACTCAACAACAAAATAAGCATATATTATTTTATAATTCTTAAAAAAAATGGTAAACCTATAACTCTTCCATCCCTTACTAGCAGAATTCAGAAGTAAAAATTAACTAAGGCCCCAGCAGACTTCAGTGTCTGGGCTAATCAAGCTTTGTGATGCATTAGGGAATTCTAGAGGAAGTGAGGCAGAGATAATGCTCAGTCCTCTATAACTCAATCAGTGCTTCTGTGTAAAGTCTCTATTGCCAGGAAATGTCAGGCCATAAAGCCTAAGAGATAAACAGGCCTATTTAAGAAGGGGGACAGGGGGTAATGAAGGAAAAAGAACAAACTAGAACCTTCAGGGTTCACCAGGGAGGCATCAATTTATTTCTTGGAAAATTTTTTTTTGTTGCAAAAGTTATATATTTAAGTGGCCCATTTCTCATCCTTTTCCTGACCTGGCAGTCATTCTGCAATTATACTGTTCCTTCGTCAAGCCAACTTTAAGTATATATAGCCTGTGAACATGGTAGGCTAGGAAGGGACTTGAAAATACACAAGGTTGCCAAGTCACAAATGGTTCACAGCAAGATAAACAGAAAGTAGAATAGATATATATAGGTATGCATATATCCAAGATCAAGTTAGGGCTTTACAAATACTCTTTAGCTTATGATCAAACATGGGAAAATCCTAAAGCTTCAAGTTTTTCTCATGGAATTACTAAATTCTTTCAACTCCAGCACATTTTCCATCAGAAACACTACATGGATCACAAAGGATCACAAAGCATTTTACCTATATTCTCAACACACAGAGACATTCAGGCTGATTTGTATACTCTTTACGTCCCTGATAATTATAATCATGTGGTTTTAGTAGAAACAGAAAACACACTTCTCTCCCTTAGTAGAGTTGTCCTAAAAACTAGAGAAACTTGATAAGAAAAGTTTTTAGTAACCTTTAATCAGTTCATTTTCACTAAAGGAAAACCTACTAATACTAAGAGTCCTTCTACTGTGAGCTAAGAAAGTAGATAAAAGTTATCCCAGTACATTTACAGCTGTCAGAATACTCCCTACCACTAATTATGGAAAATACATGTACAGAAATAACTGTATAAAACAAAATGTACCTGAAGGAAACAATGCATATGAATGTATAAAAGTGAAGAAAGACTCATCAACAACCTGTGTTACACAGATGACACAACCTTGATTGCTGAAACTGAGGAACTGAGGCATTTGCTGCAGAAGGTCAAGGACTACTGCCTTGAAGCCCAACATTAAGAAAACAATGATTCTCACCACTGGGCTAACTGGCAGCATTAGGATAGACTGTAAAGAGACTGAGATTGTTAACAGCTTCAGCTTACTTGCCTCCACAATCAACACTTTTGATTCCAGCAGCCAGGAAATGAAAAGACTAATTGCATTGGGAAAATCTGCTGTCAGGGACCTCTCCAGAGTGCTGAAGAGCAATGATGTCCATGTCAACAAAGATGTACCTAATGCAGGCCACAGTCTTCATAATTACTTGCTATGCATCAGGGAGCTGGACAATGACTAAGGACCACAGAAGAAGAATTGATGCCTTCAAATTGTGGTGCTGTAAAAGAATCTTGAACAGACCATGGACTGCTAAGAGAACAAACCGGTCCATCCTGGAGAAGATGAAAACAGACTGCTTCCTGGAAGAAAGGATTTTAAAGTTCCAACCGATATAATCTGGGTATGTTGCAAGGAGGGACCAGTCCTTGAAGAGGGACATCATACTGGAAGGGTAGAGGGATAGCGCAAGACAGGAAGACCCTGGATGAGATGGAATGACTCAGTGACTGGGGTAATGGGAGTAAGTGTGTCAGAGATGATCAAAGTGGCTTAGGATAGAGCAGAATTCAGAGTACACAGGGTGGCTATGGGTCTGAGTCAACTTCAGAGCACATAACAACAACAAACTTCTAGACCCCTAACTATACCAGAAAGCAGAAGAAACTGCTCTCATACTTTCAATGCTATATGAAGATATAACTATTTTGTAGACTGGTGATTAATTTCTCTGAAAAACCTATGACTCAGGCTTAAATTGTAAGTCAACTTAAAACTGAGCCATAAGGTGGTCATACAGTAGGTAGAAGAGGAAAGCCAGTGCTTGGTCTGCAGCATGATATGAAAGAAAGGCATTGAAGTCATAGTTTTTACTTTCAGCTCTATTATTCTAATACATTCTAGATTTGAGGTAATAATTCTAGATGTGTCAAGATCTATAGATACAGCTGTAGAGAGATACACAAATATAAATATTCAACTCCAGTTTGCAGAGCTACTGCAGTTATCAAAACTACACAATACCAGGCTCTCAACAGATGATGGGGGAGAGGGGGAGGAATACCAATCCCATTCCCCTTATTTTTTATAAAAAAGATTAAAAAGAAAGAAAGAAAAAACCCAAGTAATGCTCCATTCCCGATTTAACTGTGAGAGGCTCTGACACTCAGGCAGAGCCAGCTGGCACTAACAGCAGTCAGAGATACAGTTTCTGGATAGGGAAAGGGAGTCTGCATTAGTCATAATCCCTCTGGCGTGTTTCATTCCTAGTCTACCCCCACCCTAGTATGGTATGGTATCTTCAGCAATATCAACTCTCAACTCTCCAGCCCCTAATATCTTACAGAAAAAACCTGGAGGTTTTAGATCCAGGTCCAGGTCATGAGGACAAAAGCATTCTCAGTGGCAGCTGGCTCCTGCCAAGTGGGGAAGACAGGAGATCCAAGGGCTGGACACCAACTGGATGGGTCTGGATCCTGTTCCAGTCCCTACTATTAAGCTGATCAGTATCACAGATGCCTGTGGCTAGACTTAATGGACACAGACATCTCAAAGGTCTGGTAAAGGAATATTAAAAAAATACTTGTCTGCAGTTTGGGGGAAAACAATTAATGATTATGTAGCCTAACTCATAAAAAAGATTAAAAAAACAATAGATGACTTATCTCCAGGCATATTAGGACTATGCTATTTTTGATAGGCAGGCTTAATTAGATCTTAATGTAATGTTCAGATATATGATCGTTAAAATCCCTCGAACTTAGCTCAAGGAGAATAAAATGCTTGAGGTGCCAATACCCAATCAATTTCCAAAACAATACTTACTTTCGGGTCTGAGCTCTTGAATTTTAATCTTTCCACCAGCTCTATCATAGCTGCCTTCAGTCCGCCTGAGTCTCTGCTCTAGAAGAAAGAAAAAGCAGGAATCACTAGACGTAATTTTGTTGCTTCCCCAAACACACACAGCATCTCAAAGGACAAGGAAAACAATTTCTTATCTTTCAAGAGTACTGAACTACTACGAAGGAGAGAGGCATTGCTCTTCTTCCCTTTCTCTACAGACAAAATTGCCTAGTGACCTGGGATAACTATTGGAATGAAAATTAAAAGCAATTTGTACAGGCTGACTCATCGCTTCATCTCAGGGCTCAACCATGCCAATGAGGGCTAAGACTCTGCAAAAGCAATTTCCACCTACAATGTCTATTTTATTTCAAACCTCTTCATGTCAAACACAAAAGTGTGCAATATTAAGCATTCTTATGAAAATAAAAACAAAGAAAAAAATTCCCAAGATCTAATTGGAAATGGTATTAAACCACTGATTTAATAAGAGTGCAGGTTTCTGAGATAAGGGTTCAAATTTGAGATCTGCCGGTAACTAGTTGGTTAACGTCACACATATCACTGAAATTTCCCATAATCTACTCTCCTTCTATATAACAATTATACCAAAGTTTTTATTCTTTTTTGAAGCTTAACTGAAATAATAGTTCTAAAGCTATCAGGCAAAGTATATACTGTTCTTATATACTGTAGAGTTGGAACTTACCCATAGCTGACCCTCTAGTAGGTTTTCAATGGCAGTAAATCTTATAGTGTACAATGTGCTTAAAAGGTCAAACTGTTGTTGTTGTTATTATTATTATTATTATTACTACTACTGCATTATAATAACTTAGGGCAGTGAAAACAACATACAGAAATACAACATTAGTTCCCAATGCAAGCAACATATAAAATATTTCCTGGTAGTCAAACAAAAAAAATAGATTAATTCCTTTTCTTTTTTATTAATTCATTTTAATAAAAGATGTTACTTAAATTCATATATCTAAAATATTACCATTGCAACATGTAATTTTTAACACAAGACTTTATAGAAAATTCTCAAATTATTTGCTCTGAGCATAAAGACTGAAGAGGTATAGCAAAATGATCTAATCATGACACCTATCTTTCCAGATTTAAACCCATGCAATGCTTCCCTGTTCTAATCAACAACCTACACTATGCAGATGACACAACCTTGCTTGTAGAAAGTGAAGACAACTTAAAGTATGTACTGAAGATCATCAGACTACAGCCTAAAATAAATATAGTTATATTTCAACATGAAGAATAGAAAAATCATCAGCACTGGACTAATGGGCAGAGAGCTCTGATGGCCCAAAGAGTAAAAAGTTGTGCTGTCAACCAAAAGGTGGGTAGTTTGAATTCACCAGCTGCTCCTCAGAGGACAGACAGACAATCTTTTCCCATGTGATTAATATTCTCTGAAAGGCTGCCTCAGGGAAAATTATCAGTTGGTTTCAACTTGGTGACAATAAGCTTGAGCTTGAGGACCATTAGGCAACATCCTGATAGACAGCTGAAGCCAATGACTTCATTTTACTTAGATCCACAACCAACACCCATGAGAGAAATCAAGAAATCATGACCCGTTGCAGTGGGGAAATCTGCTATCAAGGATCACTCCAAAGTTCTAAAAAATAAGGATGTTAATCTAAAGACTGAGGCACACTTGACCTAAGCCATGGTTATCTCAACTACTTCGTTATGTGTTGAAAAATTAGCCACCAAAGAATACAGGAGTTGGTGAAGAGTACTGAATATACCATGTTGTCATTAAGAGCCACCAAGTACAACTCACAGCGGCCCTATAAAGAGAACAAAACTCTGTCCTATTTTGCACCATCCTTATCATCAACACACTAGAGTCCATTACCAGAGACACTATGTCAATCCATCTCTTTATGGTTCTTCTTCTCTTTTGTTGACCCTCCACCTTCTAAGCATGATGTCCCTTTCTAGGGAATAGCCTCCCTTAATAACATGTACCAAGTATGTGAGATGAAGCTTCACCTCTATGACTCCAAGGTACATTCTGGTTGCAATTTCTCCAAGACAAGTTTGTTCTTTTGGAAGTCCATGAATAGTCAGCACTTTTTTCCCAATACAACTCAAATTCATCCATTCTTCTCCTGTCATCCTCATTCACTGTCCAGCTGAGATGCATAGCAAAAGACTGGAAAGACTGTGGCATGAATCAGGCACACATAAATCTTCAAAGTAACATCACTACTCTTCAGGACTTTAAAAACATCCCTGATAGCAGATTTTCCCAATGTTATTTAGCTCCCCATCTCCTAATGCTGGTCCCAACTGTGATGACTGTAGATCCAAGAAGGACGAAATAGTTGACAATTTCAATTTTTTCTCCATCTATCACATCAACAATGGGTCAAAGTGGTTAAGATTTTTGTTTTCTTGCTGTTGAGATGTAACTCATACAAAAGCCTGTAGTCTTTGACTCTCTGAAGCAAGTAAGTGCCTCAGTCCTTATCTCTTTCAGCAAGTAAAGTTGTATGACCGACATAACACAAGTTGATGAGCTGTCTTCCAATCCTGGTGCCACATTCTTCTTTACATAAAGTCCATGTGCTATGGGATATGCCACAACAACAAACAAGCCTGCATTAGGCAAAGTGCAATTCGAGCCCCTCTTAGAGGCAAGGATGATGCAACTTTCATTTATGGCATTTTGGGGATGCTGCTAAGAGGCACCAGTCCTAGGAAAAAGACATCATATCGGGAGAAGCTGGGAAAGGCAGAGGGTCAGGAAAAGAAAAGACAATTTTCAACAAGATGGACTGATACACTAACTACAGTAACAGGCTTGAGGATGCTGAGCGACCATGAGGAAGGTGTGGGATAGAGCAAGGTTCAGGTTGTTCAGTGTCACTATGAGTTGTCACTGACTTGGCAGCATCTAAAATATGTATTTTTGTTAATACTTTCAATGAGATTTTTTTATTATTGAGCAAAAGGGTTTTTTTTATTATTTTATACTGGTTTACTTACAAAGTTCACATACATTGTTTTTCACAAGATCTTTCCCTTTTCCTTTACCCATCCAATTTACCCTCCACCCACCCAATTCAGTGACACTATAATTAAGCTAGACACCCAACCCACCCCCCAGCTGCCTCTCGGGGAGCTCTGGTGCCCTATTTGTAAGGAGCTGTACTGCCAACCCAAACGCACAGTTTGAATCCACCAGTTGCTCTACAAGAGAAAGGTAGGCAATCTTCTCTTGTGTGATTTACTGCCTCTGAAAATTCACTAGAGTGTCAGTCATGGGTCGGTTCTGACAACCACACATAACAACAACATTTCAAAAGACTGCACTAAGAGCAAGTAAGTTAATACATGTCAAGGGGCTTAGAATGAGGCAGGAAGATAAACAACATATAAATATGAGACATTACTATTGTCTATCTCGTTTATAATGTTTTAAGGAAAGAGGTGCTTACAATGGGGCAGGCAGGCTATCTCATTTATAATGTTTTAAAGGAAAGGATTACATCTTTTTATTTTTGTAATTCATATTCATATCAATTCATATGCATATTAATTAGTATGCATATAAATGGTTCAAAATTGGGAAGGGAGTATGTCAGGATGTGTCCTGTCTCCATACCTTTCCAATCTATATGCAGAACAGATTATCTGGGAGGCTGGGCTGTATGAGGAGAAATGTGGCATCAGGATTGGAGGAAGATTCATCAACAATCTGCATTATGCAGGTGACACAACCCTGCTTTCTGAAACTGAAGTGGACCTGAAGCGCTTGCTGTAGAAGGTCAAGGACCGCAGCCTTCAATATGCATTGAGGCTAAAAATCAAGAAAACAAAGATTCTCACTACGGGGCCAAGTGGCTGCATCATGACAGATGATGAAGAGATTGAGACTGTTAACAGCTTTAGTTTGCTTGGCTCCACAGTCAACACTCTTGGCACTAGCGGCCAGGAAATTAAAAGACATACTGCAGTGGGAAAATCTGCTGGCAAGAGAGCTCTCCAAAGTACTGAAGAGCAATGTCACTCTGGAGACTAAGGTGTGCCTGATACAGGCCATGGTCTTTGTAATCACTTGATATGCATCAGAAAGCTGGACAATGACTAGGGAGGATAGAAGGAGAAGTGATACCTTTGAACTGTGGTGTAGGAGAAGAGTACTGAATATACCATGGACTGCTAAGAGAACAGGCTAGTCCTAGAAGAGGATTAAACCAGGCTGCTCCTTGGAGGCAAGGATTCTGAAGCTTTGTCTGATATACTTTGGACATGTTGCAAGGAGGGACCAGTTCTTAGAGAGGGACATCATGCTTGGGAGGGTGGAGGGACAGTGCAGGAGAGAAAAACCCTTGATAAGATGGATTGATTCAGTGACTGCGATAAGGGGGGTAGGTGTCGGAGACAGTGAAATTGGCACAGGACAGAGCAGGGTTTAGGGCTGCTGTACATAGGGTCACTATGGGTCGACTCGACAGCACCTAACAACAACAACAACATGCATATCAAGCAGATGCTTTTTGAAAATATGCTGAACATACACTTTCAGGACATGAATGCCTTACAGTAATATATTACACGTATGTAGCACAATCTAAATTCACATGATTTATTTTCTTAACAAGTCTATACAATGGAATAGGATCATAACCTACTCTACAGAATCTACAGCATCAAGACTCAAATTTTTCCAAGAAGCATGAAGAGGTAAAATGGCTGTCATTCTTACGGGGTCAGGAAAATTAAAAAGCCAAAGCAAATACTGCAAGTAGTTTTTTACTTAAAACCGGGCTCAGGATCAGTGCTAGGAAATTTTAGGAAATATGAAGATCTTCATTACAGGAATTAAAAAGACACTAATATTTCTCCTTTCCTCTCAAAATATCAAAGCTATAAGTAAAATCCAATAGAACAGTAAGCAAATTGCTTAAGATGTACTTGGCAAACACAACTTAGATCACATTTCCACTCAAATCCAGTTGTGTTAACAATCTGTATTTTTAAAAACGGTAGTTTAACTTGCCCGATTCTGAGTCTTCGACTTC